AAACAGCCTCTGCATCAAACATCTGTGCATGTCCAGAAAAATTTGAAAAGTTAAACTTTCATGTTACATCTGCATTTGATGTAACATGAAATAAATGCATTACAATGTCCGCAGGTATGTTTTTCTGTAATCATTAATTTTGATTTACTCTGCATTTGAAAAACAGCTCCAAATTGAACAGCTATCTAACAACAATTCAATTTGTAGACAAATGGAATACGTGCCCGACGCAATATTGAAATATTGCAACATGAGTTGAAGAAAAAGCTGCTAAGATTCGAGGGATTTGAGGATTTGAATGTCTCATCCTTAGAAAAATTAGCATGTAAATTACAATCCAATTCATATCTAATGAATTAATTCTTTACTTAAAATTAGATTTATCTCAGTATATAAGTTCTCATGTTAATTGTGTGATTAAAAAAATAAACTTCTACACAAAAGCCTGAAATGTTAATAGCTTATTTTAAAATATTTTTTCTTTCTTGAATAACAAATTCTTTGTAATGCATACTGTCCAATACCACTCATTCTACTTTCTAAAAGACTGCATACGAATTAAAAATAAAGAAAAATACACTCTACTTACTTTTTAAATAATTGTATTCATAAAGATCAATACATGTTCTTCAGATTTCAGTTCATTTTTATTAAAATCAAACAACAATTATAAACAAAGGGATATAAAGGAAACCAGAGCCAAATGCTTGGTTTTTAACCTGAAAGAAGAATGCTTAATCGCATTATAACAATAGTTTCAAATTTATACTTTCTAACCACATACATTTCTTAGCACAGAGCAGGAGAAACAAGATTTATTTATTTATATGTTAACATATTAATTAAAAAACTGTGGAATTCTCATTAATTTACTTCATAAACTTCTTTCTATTCAAAAACCAATTTCATTGTTTTTGAAACAAAAGAAATGTGCGTTTTTGGCTTGTGATAAATCCAGCTGCGGCTCTCAAGCTTTCACAATATCTACTATGCTGCTCCTATCACCGTGAAGTTTAGCCACCCCTGCTACATGTAAAGCTAATAGATACCATAAGTCATGCTTTTGAGACATGAAGAATGTAAGTTGAAGTTCATCAGCTGGCTCAGTACAACAGGAGGCAGAGAACTGTTTTCGCCTTTTTTAAGTAGTTCTATATTAATTTGTTTCCCAACTAGCTGAAATTTCTTTAGCCAAAAAATATTATTATGACAGTATTGAATGACCCTTCACATCGTTTTATCTTTATACAGCCCTCAAGTAGCCGAGAGAGGCAGCACTATTTTTCTATCTTATCTAGAGCTCTGTACATAAGTGACAAAAAAAAAAATTATTTGTTTGGAATTGAGGTTTGCTTTTGCTGAACACAACAAGGGAAGAAGGAAAAAAAGAATTAGATTCCAATGAACTTCAGCTCAGACAGCATTGTGAATTTCACAATTCCTTATCTTTCTGGATTTAATCAGCTTAATATTTTGTTGGGTCTATTATTATTCCTGCTGTTTTATTAAAATTAAAACTTTAATAAAAGATAACATTTTAGATTTACTCTTGCTCGAAACTATACCCCTATCATTCAGTGAATGGATACTAGAATACTGTATAAAATGAAATACAGATATACATTAGCCTTTCAAAATTAAGAGCAGCAGCAAGACTATCTACAGACTCTTGAAATATTTTAATACAAAATTTGATATGCTAAGTGAGAGTACTTGTCTGAAGATATTTTTAAAAATTCTAAGCATAATTTATAACCAACTGCCATATTTCATGGTGATGTGATAGGCTTTATGACACCAGAAGTAAAAAACAAAATTTTCCAATTAATAGAATACGCAAAGAAATGCTAAATGAGGATGATACAACTGAAGTCTTCCACAGTAATGACAATTCTTAGTCATTAATCAATCAGCAAATGGCAAAATCTGAAATATGTTTTTAAATCTAGAAATTGTCATTTGGGCATTTTCATTTCATGGGGTCAATTTTTCATGAGGTCACATTTTCATTTTATGAGGTGGTCATTCAAATGCAACTTTTCTTTGTGTAGAACAGAATAACTCTTTCCTGAATAATTGGATAGCTGCTTGTTCAGTTCTTGGCAAACCCAAAATCGTAAAAATCCATTTCACTAAAAATACAAATAAATTTTTAAAAAACTGCAATTAGATAAAAAAAAAAAAAAATGTGGGCATTGTGTCATGAAGGTAGCTTGTTGCATCACAAGGAGTGACATCAGGATATTTTTACATTTTTACTTATATATGTACGTGGAGAAACAAGCCAGAAAATACGTACAGAAAGTGCACTCACTTGCTGGCTTGATGAAGAAGCAGAAGATAGCAAGACAGCCACCAAGAGTTATGTTAACGAAGAGTGAATTCTGCATTCTGCATCTTCCACGATGGTAAGCTGGTATAGTGAGGTCAAGATTTGCAAAGATCAATAATAAGAGCATAATGTAAAAAAAGGGGGGCTTATTTGCAACAATAAAAGATTACAGTTCATATCCATATGGTGACCACTGAGAACCAACAAAGCTCACAACATGTCAACATGAAATTTGGTTTATAAAGCCAAAGCCTTTGTGAAAGAAACTGGCAGAGTATTACCATTGAAGTAGTGCCCAGCTGGAGAATCTACAGTGTGTTTTGATCTTCTTAAACATGAATCAAGAAAATTTATTCAAAAGAAAGAAAGTGTTAAAATCATCAGCAATGAAATGCAAAGATAAATTTAAATTAAAAATATGGATTGAGTGCAAGTGTTTACAAAGTACTTAAGTACTTGTTTTCACTTTTACAAAAGTATAACCTAGCAGCAAAGTAAAAAGTAAAAGACATACTTGATCAGTTATATTCATAGTATTATAAAATGACACAGAAAAATACACTAAAGAAGAGTTTAACATTCAACAAAATCTAGATGTCTTTCATTTATCATTAAAAAAAAATCTAGTCCTAAAATTTAATAGAAAATCAGATGCTTAAGTTACATTTGGTATCAGAGATAAAAGTTGAGGGAATGTCTTCATAAAGCAATAAGTACCCAAAATTAAATTTGCCAACATTTACCTGGAATTTGCAAGTGTGCATAACTTTTAATGATCTTTAACAGCTTGTGTGCATAATAATGCCAATACATTGAATACTCAAAAGTTACAATATTTAAAACCATCATTAAAAAGGTGATGCTCATGGTATTCTATAATCAGTATAGATAACATAAAAATTATGACATGAGAATTATTAATGGAATGTTACTTCAGTAATCATGAATTGATATTTGCATATATTAAAAGACTAATGTCATAACTTCAACACAAAATGAATCAACTTCAGCAATTCTGATTTCAATTTGATACAAAGAATGAAACTGTTCATGGTTTGGAAGGCTGCAACAGAAAATGAAGAACTTTGGTGATATGTTATTGGTTTATATAGTTTTGCAAAAATTAGATTCATAAACTAAATTCTGGTGGGAAAGACAGTTAAAAGAAATTTAAAATTCCAAAGTTAAGTGAATTGAAAATTTTAAAACGTTATGCAAAGACACTACAAAACAGTTGTATCAATGGGAAAAAGTTATAAGAGTAATAACAAAGTAAATGAGTTTCCTGCAAATTGTAAATGCACCTCAATAAGATCACAATTTGCTGAAGCACAAAAAATTCTTTCAGTTAGACTTTCAGAAGACGCTTACCTAATGCACATGCGCTACTCATAAACATTCTCCTCTATCCGAAACAGACTACTGGCAACAGTACTTTCTGCTAATATGAAACACTTATTTCCTCGAACTTCATTAGAGATGTATTTCGCATTCAATTAATTCGGTTCTCATTTCGTGGCAAGGCAAAAATAATAAAAACACAAAATACATTCATTAAAAATTTAAATATATAGAAAAACATAAAACACCAAATGCAGTTAAAAAATTTAAAAAACAATTTTTATGATTAAAATTACTTTTGGTCTCACTCAGAAAAGACACTGAAGGCGTAGAAACGATTTAATTTGCTGTGGACGCTATGCTGAGTCAACATATGGGATAATTCAATAACTTAAATGATAATTCCAGAATGGATTAAGCATAACTTAATTTACTTTGTTGTTATGAAGCTTAGTTTCTCTAAATTAACAACAAATCCACCATTCTGCCACGTTACAAATGTAAACAAATATAGCTGCTATGGAGGGGGGGGAACAGGAAGACATGTGAATGAAGATGCAGTAACTGAAATCTTCACTGCAGAGACAATACCCCAATCGTCAATCAATTAACAAAAACAAAAGGAGTAGTATGATTTTAAATCAAGAAACAATTGTATCTGATGCTGAAAAAGTGATTTAAAAACAGCTGAGAATGAAACGATTTCAGTTTTAACTATTTAATGTATACTTTCTAAATAGCAATTAGAGGCCTTGAATGCTCGAATTTTGTAACTGAACAAGAAATTATGTCTTTATATAATATTAATGAGAAAGTATTAACATACACACATACAAAAAAAAATTGCTTAAAAACACTTACGTTGAAAGAAATGTTGCTTAATGAAACAAATGTTAATATCAAGGTCTTTTTGTAAATTTTGATTCCTTTAAGATCAGAAATGTTTCGTTATTTCATAAACAGCCATTTCATGTTTTTAATTTTATAATTTCTATATGTCATGTCATTAGATTTAAATTAATGATCTAAAACCTGGAATTGCTGAAATCTAGCAAACTCGTATCTGTATTGTATTATGCTTGACGAATTGCAATTTTCACAAATTGATAAATTTCAAATGGGAGAATATGCATATCATAATATAAACAAAGCTTAATTTTAGGTATTAAAAAAAGGCAACTTTTTTTATTTTATTTCAGCATTCTACAAGAAATAATACACAAAAAGCTCCTTTTTAATACTTTGATATTCATTTAAATTTTTAAAAAATCTTAAAATATAAAGTGAATTGCAAAAATATAGCAAAACATGACATTTTTGTAATTACCTTTTTATATTTTTCCATGTCAACACATTCCAGTTGTGACAACCGAACTAAATTGGTACCAACCAACAGCCTCAGTTCTTGTCGTTCTCGTTCTCTTTTTTCTTTATCACGGGAATGACCTTGATGCTGCATTCTTACCCACAATTTATTCATTTCAGCAAAATTCAGAAGAATGAAATCAACAGAATCTTTTACAGTACCTATGGTTTCAGCATTTCTAAAATTTAAATTAAAAAATAAGAGGGTTACACAAATGTTTAAAGACTTAAATACTAGCTAACACAAAACAAAATTGAACAATGACAACGAATTTTTTTAATTTTACCTGAAAAATCTGGTTCCTACTCTTAAAGTTGTACACATTTATTATGGCAAAGCCTGTCAGAGCTATTTACCTAAAGGTAGAGAATTTTTGTGAAGGATTTTCTAATGGAAATACACAAACTCGTGACATAAACAGGGAAAATGATGAAAACACCCTTGCAGCCAGCTCATTCCTCAGATTCAAGTATACAGCTAACTAATTCTAACCAGCATATCCAATTCAGATGTCGGCAACGATAATGCAAAGTCGAATAATTACAACTTCAGTGCTGGCAGGAACTAAACATAGCACACTCATGCAGGCCAGAAACACGCTCTGTTTTACAATCCAACAACCTCAGTTTAAATACTGTCTAACCTCATTTTCATTCTGGTGAAGAAAAACAGAAGTCATAGTAAAGCCTGGAATTATAAATAACTGTTAATTTAAATAATAGCCTTTAAATTCCTTTTAAAATTTAGTGTAGCTTGTTCTCTTAATTTATTGACAAAGAGGAAAATACTAATTCACAACTCAAACAACAAAAATCAGTGTTATATTTACAAAATTTTCACAGGACAAGTTTCGATGGTTTTACTGAACCACCATCCTCAGCTGCAAACCACAAATGTGATTAGATAAGATAGGAAATAATGATTAGATAAGATAAGAAAGCCTGGACAAGAATAAGCAAGTGGCGCCATCTGTTGGTGAAACCAGAACTAAAACATAATTTCTTTAAAGGCCGAAGGCAAATTTGGATTGGAATTAGGGCCGTTAACCTGGCGGAAGGCGCGTCAAGAAAAGTTACTTGAACGGGTGCGTGGGGTATCACTTACCCCAGTATTTAAAATATGTTTTAAAAAACGTTTTATTTAGTTTTAAACCAGTTTTGTCATTTATTATACGTGAATAAACCTTGGGTTACAAAAAATTAATTTCCAGTATTAAGCTTATAGAGTTAAAATAAAAATAAATGAAAATAATAACAAAATAAACATCATACCTCTCAATTATTTTTGCATCTTTGATACACAATGCTTATTTTATCTGTTTACACTTTGAACAAAATACATTAATATGTTCTTGGCACAGAAAGATTTCACATTTTGAACATCGCATTCGCGTTTTTCTATCCTTAGCTCGAGGACATTCATCACATCTTTTATATTTAGTTATTTCGAATTTCATAGATTCGTTTGAAATATTCGTAGAAACTTCTGCTCTTCTTTTGCACGCCGTACGTAAATTTCTCGTTAGCGTATTAATCTCTGATCTTTGTTCAATATGATTTTTAATTAGTTCCAATGCTAAGTCCTTCAAAAACAGACGTCTGCTTCTATATCTGGTTGGTAGATTAGCAGTTGATAGCAATATGATTCGAGCATTTATTGCAGCAATATTCAGTGCAGAAAAAAAAAAAAATTACCATTGGCCATCTCCTTGTTATTCTGGCAACTGAATAACTTGCTGCCATTTCATCTACCATATCCACTGCTCCCTTAGTCATATTATAAAAACATATCATTTCTGGCTTTTTCTTTTCTCCAGTAGTATCATCTATACCATCATCGTTATATAATGTGAAAGCATAAGAACAGTTTTTCCTTTTTAGGAACATAAGAAATTAATGTTTTATCTTTTTCAAAACCAAAAAGTGTAGAAAATATTTCCCTTCCCTTAGAAGTAACAAAAGTAGGAGCAATTTCCCTTTTGTTTTTCCGTATTGTTCCTACTATTGTAAGCTTTTCTTTTAGAAGATCTGCAGCTAGTGGGTAACTCGTATACCAGTTATCTGTAGTAATATTTCTGCCAGATTTATACAGCGGTTGAATTAACCTTTTCACAACGTCAAATGGACTGGTACTGACCTTGAAGGGACCATCTGGCTGTGTACCGCAGTATATTTCCATATTAGAAGTATAAAAAGTTCTTGAGTCTACCAGTGCAAAAATCTTGATTGTGTATTTTGCTGGTTTGTTCGGCATATGTTGGCGGAACCCACATCGGTCCCTCGAAAGGGTTCGAGTTTCTCTTCAATAGTGACGTTCTCACCTAAATTATAGGAATCTTTGCAATTTGAAATAAATTTTTCAGAGAAATCTCTAATTGCAACTAATTTATCAAAGTGTTTTCTCTGGAGTCTGTCTAGCAATTTATCGAAACGCATGCAACGTAAAAGAAATAAAAATCGCTTATAGTTCATTGTTGTGTGAAAAACTTCAATACCTGTACCGTCAGTAGCCCAAAGGTTCTTTACGTTGAGATGCGACGACTTGTGAAGGCCACATAAATATAAAAGTCCTATAACTGCTCTTATCTCGACCACTTCCGTAGCTTTCGCATCTCTTTCACGTTTATAATTTAAAACTATCTCAGAAATATATAAATTCGTACATTCTACAATCATTGACAATATACTATTATCAATAAGAATATTCCAACTACTAAAGGGATCAGTACATTTTTTGGCTTCTCTACAGGTCTTGGAAGATGAGTCATAATATTATGCGCCACGAACTCTTACATTTTGTCTAAATTTCTTTTTTTTTTTTTCCACACCGTTTTTCCATCTTTTCCAACAAAATCATCGGAAACATCATCATTTTAGCATCCTCCAGTTCATCATCTTTCTTCTGTATCTGTGTTATGTTCGCTAAATATTTCACAGTCAGATCACCTTCAATTTCCAAAATGAAATCTTCATCACTTTCAACTGTTTCTAATAAATCTCGCAGCCGTTGCATCTCCAATTCATAGGGACTCATTCTTTTTGCCATAATGCATTAAAAAATCTTTAAAAATACAATTTTAGCTACTTTAAAATCCCTTGCGAGTAGTAATATTTATTGTTATACTCTAGAATTTAATATTTGAAATAAATATTCCGTCAAAAAAACACTTACGTGAACAGGTGCGTGGGGTGTGTCATACTCCAGTTCCAACAAATATCAATAAATCTTTTTCTGAAACACAGATGCAACAATAAACCGGGTCTGAAGGTCATACACTACTAGAAACCCAGCTATTGAAACGGGACAAAATTTTGGTTTCACAAGTTGGGAATATTCCACTGTTTTGTAGGGGTGGGATATAATACACACCACGCGCCTTCCCGCGGGTTAACTAGAACAGGAAGATTTTTATGAATGTGAAATGCCTCTAGAAAATCCAGTTCTCCAATGGAAGATGTTTTTTGAATAATTTTGGCAGCAGAAAAATTGAAAGTGTGGTTTTTGGACCAACAATGTTGAGCAACAGAAATCTTCTGTGTTTCCTTTTTTCTAACATATGCCTCATATTCCTTGACGCGAAATTTTAAGGCTCTCTTAGTTTGGCCAATGTAAATTAAACCACACTGGCAAGGAATCCTATAAATACTCCAGGAATTCATATCCGGAATGGGGTCCTTGAGTACGGAACTCTGAATTTTATTGATGGGAGAATAAACAACCCGAAAGTTAAATTTCTGCAAAATATATGCAACTTTACAGCTAATTGAATAGTCCTGTGGAAATTTTGTAAATATAACGCTGATTTTTGTTGTTTGACTTGTGAATTAGTATTTATTGGGCGTGTTATTGTGTCTTAATTAAAGAGGAAAATTATATGGATATTTTAAAAATTTCTGAATCTTGCACTATAAAGATGGGAGGGAGGATTATACAAGGAAATACAGCATCAATCACTTAGAAATACTTTCTTGGGATGGATTCAATGGGCAACTCTGGGCAAAGTAATATCACTAGGTAATGGTGATATCCTTGCATTAGCAGCATTAAATTACCAGAATATGTAAATAACCACTTGCACTGTAGTAGTAAAGATACATTTCATTTTTTACAGATGCATTCTTAGTGATGAAAACTTTTAACTATCTCAGAAAAATAATAAAGTTCCTTATTCACAGTCTGATTTGAGGAGATAATTTTTGGTTTAAAATCACATTCAAGTTGCAGATTTCCTTATTCTACCATGTGAATCATTGACTCTATAAAAGATATTTATACATAACTGCTGATGTTGCTAGACACACGAAGACTTTCAATCACGGTGCAAGTGCTCAGATTTGTGCATAAACATAAACTGGAATTGCTCTGAAGAGGATGAAACCAGATTTAAGTCAAAGAAGTTCTTCAAATTTCAAAAAAGTTCAAGGCAAAGAATTTCATTAGCTTCCAGCTGGTTCATGTAAAACTATCAGTATCCCCCCAGCTTCGTTTTGATTAGCATAGTATTGTTACGAAATGTACAGGCGTGGTGAGATAGCTCGTTGCCAGGGATTCTTCCACTCTTCTGAAGTATGCACACTACCCCAACGTTGTGTAAGATGCGCTGGTCCGCATCAAGCCAAAGACTGCACCAAGCCCTTCGAAGAGCCAAAATAAATGTGCCAACTGTTCCGGGAGCCATGCAGCCAACTGGAGATCCTGCCCGAGGTTTCCAGGATCAAAGAATCGACAGCCACCAAAACCAAGCACCAAGCCCAGTCAGACCGTTGACAACACTAACAAATTTAATCTACAACAAAACACATTCCCAACACTGCCGGCTGCACACATTCCCAGTGCAAATAATACTCGCCCTGGAGTTTCATACTCTGCTGCCCTTACGGGTATGCAACAGGCAGCACCACAAACATTCCAAATTTATCGGTCCCCTTAGGAGCAAATTCGACACTAAATTGTACCGAAATTCTTTTGGCTATTATCCAAATTTCTAATCAGCCTGGTATTGACCAGAGCAAATTACTTCTGGCATTCAAAAACGCCTTACCGCAGCTCAGAGTGGCTCCATCTGGTGCTGACGCGGCCTACTACATCTTTGAGAGTTATATTACTCTCCAATTCTCTGATTCCCACATTCATTAAAATTCAATACTTTGAAAGGGTTGAAAAATCTTAAACTATGCA